CCAAGGAGTGGCTGATGGATTCCAAATGCCCACATTTTGGTAATGTCCACCATACATTCTGTGAAATAGGAAGTTTTGCAATTTGGACATAATGCGAACACCATATACAGGCAGTTCCCTGGTAATGTGCCCAGCCTGCCCGCTCCTCCGCCCGCCTGAGGAGCAGCAACAGCCCGCCCCAGCAGGCAGTACTGCTGCCTGCCTACTGACAAATCTGGAGAGCTGTATCCACTGGATACCTGAGCCTGGCCTTGCCCGGTGTGTGGCTGCTGGCGGAGCAGGGGCTGCGCAGGCAGTCGGATCGGACTTTGCACACTTCCGGGCTCAGGGCAGGGTTCGCATGGGGGCGCGAAGAGGTGGCACATAGAGGTGGCCAAGCGAACTGGGCGGGGAGCAGTTGTGTGGGTGAGAGGAGCGTGGCTGGCGGTGGAGGCAGTGGCTGCCGAGCCCTGCTGATGCGACCGCTTTCAGATCGCGTGCAGCCGCCTTTGCCGCTGCAGGAAGCCAAGAGCTGGGAGCCCTGGAGCACCGCGGGCCCAGCCAGCACCCTGCCAGTGCTGAGGAGCCAGGGCAAGAGCTGCCCTGCGCTGGGAGTGAATGGCTGGAGGACTGCTGGGCATCGAATGAAGCCAGGAGTAGGGGAAGGAGGAGGCTGAAGAGGAGGCACTGCAGAGATTGACATGCGCCCTGGAGCCCCACTGCTCATTCATTCTAGGGGTTTGGGGTCTTTAAAACCATTAGGGGAAAATAATAAACAAAAAGAGATTTAAAAAGAAAAATTTATGAGACCACAGACATATATGCAGTCGGATGTTGCCCAAACGGGCATTAAGCAACGCATCGCTATACTGGTAATCCAGACAATAAATTGACATTTGTTGTCAAGGAAAGATACAAATGGCATATGTTGTTAAATTTAAGAACTCACCAAAGAGTATGTACCATATAATTCCAGTAAAATAAAAAAGAATGTATGTGATTGTACAGAAAAAAAGTGAAAATATATATCAAGATTTCAAAATCAGTATTAGATAGTAGAATTTAAGTGACTATTTTTCTTGGTTCTAATCTTCAATTTCTACTCCTATAAAAAGCATGCATTCTTGTGTACTATCTAAGACATACATATTTCAAGAACAATTATTTCACAGATTAAGCCACAACGTTTAATGCAAGAAAGGAAAGTAGAGGAGGGTTTTAGACTGGATAATCTCCGGGATAAACTGAATCTTTGTATTTGGGAAGAGTAGGGATTAGCAAAACTCTTCAGAAGCTCAATTTCAGAGAATTTTGAACGTTAACTCCATCTGAGGCCATAATCTTTTATGAATTTAATCATCCTCCCTTTACCCTGTAGATGGTGGCC